CACGACCACCTGCTGGTAGTAGGCGTTCGGGTCCCCGAGGTCGAACGTTCGGGGCAAATCGTAGCCGTTCTCCGGCATGAGTAGGATGTACTTGATGTCCTCCCTCCTCGGGTTCTCGGTGTCGAGCTCTCGGCAGAGCCGACGCCTCAGCTCCCGTAACTCCTCGACCCAGGTGCTTCGGAGCTCTTCCCACAGATCCTTGACCCAATGGTCTGGGAACTCCGAGGGGTCCCTCTCGAAGGCCGCCTCCAAGAACCCTAACGACCGCCGACGCTCCGCCCCGTGTGCGACCCCTATGATGGACTCGAACATCTGGATCTCGCACCGGGCCCTCTTGAACCAGGTCGCCATGTGGGTGGCGGGCCGTTGGCGGGGCTCCAGCTTGTCGTCCACAGGGAGCCGATAGCCATCGAAGTCCTCGTCACGCGCGGGGACGCAGTCGTCCACCGCCAGGTCGTGAGGGCCCGTCCCGAAGGCGAGCGCCGCGTAGCCGTGTGCCACACGGTTGGTAACCAGGCAGGGAAACCCGATCGTCTTGAGCGTGCTCTTGGAGTGCGCACACATGCGCTTGAGAGAGTCGAACAAGTCCTTCCCCGTGATCCCCTCGCAGGCCTCAACCACGAAGGTGTTGCATCCCCGGGCTATGTAAAGATCAAGTTCCTCGTCCCGACCGATCCCTGCCCTGGTGCCCCGGGCCTTCTTGTCGCCCTCGGTGGCCCGCGCCTGCCGCTCGGCGGCGAGGACGTGGCGTTCGGTGAGGCGGTTCTGGCGATCCAGGCGCTCGATGATCTGGGCTTCGGCCTCGGCTGTAAGCCCGCCCAGGGCGCCCGCCGCCCCGGCGTCGTCTGGACCCCCAGCTCGCTCCCCACCCAGGCCGCCCCCGTGGGGCGTCTGGCCAGTGAGGTGGCCAAGGACCGAGGCCCCGTCGAGGAGCGGATTGGCCCCACGAGCGGCCCCCCCGCGTCCATCGCGTGCCAGCAGGTCCCGATCACCCAGCAAGCCCCGTCGTGGGCCCGTGGGTTGGATGGGGGGCATGGCACCGAAGAGCTCGCGTCGGGGTCCCTGCTTCGGGCTGGGATCCCGTCCCCGCGCCGAGCGACTCCGCGACCCCTCACGTGAGAGGCTGCCCTGCAGGGGAACCTTGTCGGCGGCCGCAGCACGCTCCCGCGCGCGCGCTTCCAGCTGCGCATCCTCCAAATCCGCGGGGGCGCGCTCTAGGTCGGACCCCAGTGGGCCCGCCGCTGCCACCTGTGCGACCCTCCGCCGCAGCTGCCGCTCCGCCTGATCACGCGGAACCCCGAGCAGGTCCGCGGCCATACCTAATGCACTGAGGGCCGCCGCTTGGCCCCCCCGTCCTTTGAGATCCTCGGCTCGCAAGGAATCCATGAACATTTCGAGTGGGTCGGGCTCCTCAGCATCCTCGCTCACGCCGGCGGGGGCCGCCGCTAAGCGCGACGGTGCCGCCACGGGGGCGGGACGGGGCAAGCCCTCCATCCCGGGCGCCGGCTGCGCACCCTGCGCGCCGCCCCGCCGATGGTGGCCGAGTGTGCGCACCGGGTCGTGCTGCAGCTGCTGGCGCTCCGTGTTCGTCAGGTAGCGCCGCCTCCAGCCGCTCGCGCTTTCCACGTCCACACCGCCCCACTGCTCCTGGCGTAACATCGCCAGCAGATCCTGCGGGATGTGGTGGGCGATGACACGCAACCCCACTTCCCGAGCCCCTTGGGGGACCTCGTACAGCAGCCGATTGATCCAATCTATCGGGTAGCGCCCGTCCTCCAGCGGAGGGGGGTGCCGTACGACCTCGCTGGCTGGGACCTCCACCCTGACGCCCTCGAGGCTAGTCCCGATGATAAGTCGGGCGTCCCCGCCAGTGCCCCGTACGTCGAGCCCCTCGCATTCTCCCAATAGAATAAACCAAGGACTCGCCGGGGGCGCGCCGTACGCCTCCTCGGCTCCCCGAGGGTCGCCCGGAAGTATCGGGCAGACCTTCACGAGTAGGGGCTCCTGAAGCCACCCGTGATGGGCGATCCGATCGCCCGGGGCTCCGCGGTCGGCAGACCGTGAGCGTCCGCTGGCCCTTGCTTCCGCGGAGCGTGTGCGACGCGGCTGCGGCCCAGAGGCTAGGGCCTGCGCCCCCGTGGGCTCCACATCGACAGATGGGGCCACGGCGGGCGGTGGCGGTGCAGCGGGGGGAGGTAGAGGCGGGGGGTAGACCGGCCCGGGCGCTATGCCAACCCCATCGGCAGCGTGCGCGGTCCAATCGCGCGCCCTGGCGGGGCTTGGAGCCCGCGCCCGCATGCGGCGGCGCAGGCCCCCGAGGATCCCAGGTTGGACCGTCGCTTCGACGCGCACGGTGCGACCCTCGTCCCGTCGGAGATGTTCCCCGCACATCGGGGCCCCCCCGCAGCTACCCTTCGCCATGCGGAGACAAGTGGGGAGGCTGCACTTGCGGCCGATCAGGGTAGACCGATACTTCTGCGCATGGTGGGCGCAGAGATGCACCTGTGCACTGAGACAATGCCCCGGCCGGGGGAACGTCCGACACCTCCGCGTCCTCCTGTAGCAGGACAGTAGCCTCCTGCATCCCTCGGTCGCCGCACCCCTCCGGCTGGAGGGGGCGTGCGCCACCCGCGAGCTGCGCCCCAACTTGCGCGGCTTGGCAGGGGCGCTCCTCCGCCTCCACCTCGCTCTCCGAATCGATGTCCAGGCGGCGATAGCCCGTGGCGTCGGTGATGTAGCGGGGCTCCGGCCGGCCCCGGCACAGCCATCCGAGAACCGACCAGGGTGAGCAAAGCAGCCACTTGACGACCCCGAATACCTTCCGGAGTCCCACGCCGACTGCCCGGCAGGCCGTGGCCCTTCCGTGCTCAGCCAAGTCCACGATCTGTGCGTGGTCAATGGCCGCGTACTGGTCGACGTGCATGGGATGCGCCACTGGACAGGAGGCGCACTCGACGGCACGACATAGATGCACATTCCCTGTCTCCTCGAGGTTCAGCCGCCACTTGCGACTGGTGCACCCCAGGACCTGCCCGATCTTGATGTTGAGCCCGTGGCGGTCCAGTCGGTACCGGTCCGCGAAGTTGCAGCTGATGCGGGCCACCTGCCCGTGCTTACGCAGAAGCACGTGGTTGTACGCCCGATTGGTCCCTCGGCCGCGGACCCCCTTTGTGTAGAACTCCGTCTCCACCACGCCGCCCAAGCCCGGCCCGCGCCAGCGCACCAGCAAGGGGGTCGGAGGGGGTGGGGGAAGATGGGCGCCGGGCCCATCGCCTCCGCGTCGCTGGCAGCACCGGGTAATCTGGTACCACGCCCAGCGGAGTCCCCCGGCAGCCCACAGCATAGGCTGGGCTGCGGTGTTGACGATGAAGGCCAGGGCACCCAACACGAACGTGAAGATGCCTAGGGCAAAGCATAGGACCGCGGTCTCCCACCAGTACCCAAGCATCTTAACGCCCAGGCGGTCGACGGCGGATCCAATCCATCCGCCACTCGTGCGGATCGTGCCCGGGTGGTCGGGGGAGCTTACCCACGCTCCGTAGCCCACGAACTCGAAGACCCAGGCTGCGAAGCCCCAACCGGGACCCGGCCCCGCCTCCGGGGGCGGGGTAGGTGGCGGCGGCGGCGGTGGGGGTACGTTCCGGCCAGCCCACCAATGGGGCAGGTGCGGGACCCAACCACTCCACCCCCAATACCCGTCCGGCCCACGCGGCAGGTCAGGCTCACCATCGCCCGTCCGGTTTCCCGGGGCGGACGGCTGCCCAGGCGCGCCCGTGGGCTCGTTGTTACCTCCGTATGCCGGCGTAGCTGGGCTGCCCGTGGGCTCGCCCTCGCCTACGCGCCCGATGCCCGCGGTCGTGGTCGTTGTAGTCGACCCTGACCGCGGCGGCGGTGGGACGCCCGGCGTCCCCGGGGGCTTGGCCTGCGGCCCTCGCCCCTTTCCCCCTGCAGGCGCGGGCTTGGCGGGCGGTCCTCGCCCCTTGCCTCGCCCCCCACCGCCTGCCGGCAGCGCTGTCGGCCCGGGCAGGGCTGGCGGCGTCGGCGCTGGGACCTCCTGTCCCCCGCGCCCGAACGGCAGCCAGCCAAGTGCCCCTTGGACCGTGAGAGCGCCGCCCGTAACCAAGATCATCAGGTGCGCCCCCAGGAAGCCCACAGCCATGGCACCACAGGCGCGCTACCTAGTCCGCGGACTAGCACGGCTGTGGTTATGGCCGCCCCGCGGCCCCCTGGAACACCCGCGCGTCGGCCAGAGCCGAACGCTACGGACCCAAAATGGCTACCTGAGCCCACACCCCCTCCCACTTAACCTGCAGTCTACAACCAATCAGACTATACAAGCTGGTGGAACTGACCGCTGTAAGGGAAGTTTCCTGGCGGGTGGAATTAGTGCGGGTGTCGGTGTAGTCGGTCCCGTGTCGCGTCTATCTTTCGTCGTGTGGGGCGTGGCCGGGTTGTCATCGTCGCTTGAGCTGGTATGATGGGCGTTGTATGGTCGGGGCTGGTAATACTGTGTGCGGCTGGCGGGTTGCAGATATTATGTAAGACTGTCGTTGTTTCGTATATGCTGGCTGCCCAGTCGTACTTCACTTTGTCGTTGTAGTCGTGGCAGTCCTCCTCCTCATTATGATCATCCTCCTCCCACCCTCCTCCGCCTCCGCCTCGTTTTCATCCTCCTCCTCCTCCTCCTCCTCCTCCTCCTCCTCCTCCTCCTCCTCCTCCTCCTCCTCTGCCTCCATCCAATTTCCTTATAAATCATTCGTCCTTGTCACACCCTGAGGCGCGTCGGCTGGGCGGGCCGGGCGTTTTGCCTGAGACATCCTCAGCACTTATGGACCTGAGGCTCGAAAGTTACAATATTTTCACAGATGGAGGGCGGGTGGTTTTCGCCCAGGCGGCGCCACTCCTGGCCAACATCGACGCCCCAGATGTCGGGGCCCCCGGGGATACATCCCACGTCGCGCAACGCCATGACGAGGCCCCCAATGGGCCCTGCGAGACGCCTCCAGCGGGAGCGAGCCCACATGTTGATCAGTTTCCTGAGCGCCGCCCTCCAGCTCCAGCCACGACGGACCCTGTCCTGGAGCACGGGGGCTCTTGACCCAGAATTGGAACCGCTGCTTGATCTCGTCCCCGAACGCCGCCATCTTGGAACCATCGGAACGGCAGTGCAGCAGAAGGACGGAGGCCGCACAGCGCCCTCCCACTACGAGCCCAGCCAAGTCAGCAGCTCGGGCACGCACGGATGTTATAACGGAGGCCGAGACCCCTAACGCCGGGCCAGAGTGCCTGCACTTGGCCCCTATGTCAGCGTCGTGCAGCATGACGCCCATGGACTTGCTGCCTCGCCCGATGCGCTTGAACGGCCTCGTCCTCATCGTTCTAGCTTGTGAAATGGCAACGCGGTCCGAGGTCGTCTCGATGACCCACCGCTGTCCCACGGCGCCATCCACTCCCAAATCCTCGGCATAAAGTCCGGTTGGGCATGATACCCGCCCCCTTCAAGGCGCTGCACATTGATCTCGCCCAGAGACCTGGCCATCATGACCAAAGACTTGGAATACACGCGAATGCCGCGAACCAGGCAGCCTTGCGCGCGGGGCACTGTGACCACCTTGGACTGCTCAACGAGCATGGGCCCAGGACCCTCGATGTAAGCATGAACGCCATCGACGCACTGCCGCACCCTAGCGACGGGCGCCTTCGCACGCGCCCCCACCAACAGGTGGCATTGAAAGCTCGAGCACAGTGATCGGCGTTGCCACGGCCTGGCGAGGTGGAACAGTTCGGGGCGATCTCCGTTCCGAAGGCGCCGCGGGACACGACGACCCTCGAGGCCAAGCACGCGAGGCTGCATAGGTAGAGCTCCGCTGGGGGGAACTCCGACTCGATGCTCCGCTGGGCCATCAAGGCCAAGTCCATGATTCCGTGGAACCTCTCAGCATCCAGCAGGAAATCGGCCTGCTCGCGGGCGCCGCAGCGCAAGCGAGCCTCGTCGAGCACCATCCTGAGCAATACCGCTTGCAACGCGAGGCTGCCCCGCACAGCCGCGCCCCAGCGGGCCGCCTCCCGGTCGCGCCGGCACAGCCACTGCTTGGACCATTTTGGCAGCAAGGCAAGCCGCTTGTGCAGCGGCTGATGGGCCCATTCCAGATTCCCCTCGACACCTTTCATTGGGTTGATAAACCCCTCCTGATCCTGGCCCGAAAGCGCCTGGACGCGCCGCGCCGCGCGATGGCACGAGCCCTGGCCCGCGGTCTCGCAGCAGGACCTCGAGGCCGCCACCGGGTGCTCTCTGGCGCAGAAGCTGCGCTCGGGAAGCGCGGCTTGGGCCACCTCATCGAGGTCCTGCAGCGCTCGAACCAAGGATGGCAGCCTGGACGCATTGCCGGCCCAACGCTCCCCCAAGAACTCGAGCGAAGGTCGGTGGAAGCTTGCGCCGTTTCGAGAACCTCGAGCGTCCCTGGGTTGACGGGCGTCTCCGGCATGGCCCGCTGCTCTGGCTTCTGGGAATACAGGTAGGCCTCCTTCATGGAGCCCGCGGCGTCGGCCACTGCCCAGGCACGGGCCTCGCCCCTGGTCAGCTGCCAGGCCGAACTGGCGCGACTCGCTGCCCTGGCCTGGACCTTCGAGGCGAAGGGCTGCAAGGCCACTAAGCCCCCGCACATACGAGGGCGGGCACCTCGCGATAGCACACTTTCATCATCTCGAAAAATCCCCTACTTACCCCTGGCTGTTTCACGCTGGCCAGCTGGCGAAGGCCCCAGCGCCCGATGAATCACGGGGAGGTCGTCGAAGACGGCCATCACCTGCCCCTGCAAGGCCCCCTGGCGCAGAGTGCGGCGACGGCGGGAGAGGGCCGCGATCTGCCCCGGAACCCCGGCACGAAGGCTGGCCCACGTGCCGCCGAGCAAGCTGGAGGCCGAGTGGGCGCAGGCCGAGACCTTCGGCCAGCGGGGTGCCCTCCTCCTCCTCCTCCTCCTCCTCCTCCTCCTCCTCCTCCTCCTCCTCCTCCTCCTCCTCCTCCTCCTCCTCCTCCTCCTCCTCCTCCTCCTCCTCCTCCTCCTCCGACCACCTGTCGGCCCACGGGTCGGCCCCGTCGCGACGCCCACCGAACTTCTGCGCCGCGGAGGTCCGCCAGCTGGGCTTCGGCCGCGCAAGCCCGCTGACTGCGCTGCGATGCCAGTTCCCGCAGCGCGCGCGGGGCCACCCGGCAGGCCGCGGCGCGCTGCGCGTCGGGCGACCCAAGGGAGGCTCGCTGCCGGCGCCGCCCGCGGCCTCGGCGAGGAGATCGGGCCAGTTGTCGCCCTAGCATCTGCGAGCCCTTCGCGGAGTGAAGTGGCCACTCAGTAAGCGGCGGAAGCTCGGCACCTCCGCCCGCGTCGCCGACGGCGCTCGACCCCCGCAATCGCGCGGACTTCGCCCTCAGGCACAGCGAGAGCCACTGGAAAGACTAAGGCGCGAACGAAAACAGAGGCTGGCCTCGCGACGAGCTGGAGATCGACGCCGACGCGCGGCCCCCATGGCAGGGGCTTCGCTGGCGAGGCGCGGATCGAAGAAGTGGAAGCTATCCGGCGCTACAGCGCAGCCCAGCACTCGCCCATTCCCAGAGGAGCGAGGCCGACGCCTCCCGAAGCCGCGGAGCGGGCGCCCATTGCGTCATCGAACCAGCCCGACTGGCCAAACCCCTCGGGCGCGGCGCTATGTCCCCGACCAGGCGCCAGGGCATCCCCCAAGACCTCTACGACGCGAGCGACCACCGTCATCTCCATGGCCTCGAGCCCACCCGGCCGACAGGGCAGCCCAGATAGCACGCCGCGAAAGCGAAGGCGAAAGTGGCGCCGCGCCCAAGCGCCCTCGAGGACGCGGCGGCAGACGCCGCGCCCGCCAGCGCCCGTCGGCGCCAGGGAGCGAGAGTTCGCGGCGCAGGCGGCAGGGCTGAGCCAGCAGGCGCCCCCCAGCGCTCCCGCCCCCGAGCGCTGCGAAGAGCGGGCCGCCGCCCGGGTAGATTCGGACCGGGGGCGCAGCCCTTCTCGCCGGCGCCACGCTTTCGAGAGGCGATGCTCGGCCAACGCCTCTTACGCTGCATCATCGGGGGGCCCTGCCTGTCCCGTCGCGGCCCTGTCCGCGCCGAATGTCGGATCCACGTCGGATCCGCGTCGGATCCGCGTCCAAATCCGCGTCGAGTCCGCATCGAGCCCGCGCCCGGCACCAGAAAATGCGCCAATTTGGGGGACAGGCGAGGGCCCGGAAGACGCAACGCAACCCCATCGTGGCCACGGGTGGCCTCCGCCACGGAAAGCTCCACCTTAGGGTTGTAGCCTGCCACGCTGCCGAAGAACACGGAGACGCAGGACCTCCGGGCGAGCGGACATCGCCTTGCCCGCTCCGATGGCCCAGCCAAACGCACGCGGCGACTTCGACCCTTTCCCGACGAGGGCATCGGCCACCCACCCGTCCAAGGCTTCGTCGGCGAGGGCGGCGGGGGAGGGGGCTGCGGCCACCCGCTCATCAGCGGCCTCTGCTCTCCAGCTTGCTCCGCGGTCTGCCATCTCGGCCCCCGCAGGTGACCCCCTTCTCCGCTGCCACTGGCAGCGAGCTCAACGACCCGACCAGCAAAACACACGCAGTGACTACGACCCTGGCCCGACGGAGGCATTGGCCACCAGCCCGTCGGCGGCTCCGCAGGCAGGGAACCTCGGGGAAGGGGCTTCGGCCACCCTCTCGGCAGCGGCCCCACCTCCGACTTTGCTTCGAGGCCTGCCCCCATGGCTCCATCGAGCCACTCCCCTCTCGTCTGCCACTGGGAGCGGGCCCGGCAGACCCGTGCCCAGCGAAACTCACGCGTCGACTACGACCCTGGCCCGTAGGACGCATTAATCACCCGCCCGTCGGCGGCTCTATGGGTAGGAGAGCTGGGCGGGGGGGCATCGGCCACCCGCTCGGCAGCGGCTTGATCCGAGGTCTGCCTGCTCGGCTGCCCCAGGTCGCCCCCTTTTTCACTTGTCGCGCTCGGCGACCCGATTGGTCCTGCCACCCGCCCGCCTTGGATCCCGCCGCCGCTGCAGGCGTTACGGGCGGCGCTGCAGGAGGCGCAGACGCGGAGGCCCCACGGCTCGCCGACGAGGCTGCTGCGCCTGCCCGCCTGGAGGCTGTCCTCCTGATGTATCCGTCGATGGCGTCGGCGTCCGTGAAATCAGCGGCGGGTTCGGGCTCTGGGTCCGCGGTAGCGGCGTCGCCTCCTGCCACAATGCCGGCAGCGGGGGTGGCCTTGCGCCGCTTGACTCCACCTGCTTCTCGAAGGGTCTCGAGGCCGGCGGCAGCCTCCTTCGCATGTTTGCCAGCGCCAGTAACGTTCTGAAGCACCGCCTGTGCCTCCTTAGCTGCCGCCGCAACCTTTCTGCGGTACTCCCCCTGCTCGGGCTCGAGGGGGTGGAGGTCGCCGTTGTCCAGCTCATGGAACTGTTCAGCACCACCTGCTCGTGAGCCTGCCGTCGCCGTGCAAGTAGCAACTGCAAGGCGGTCGACTGCTGCTTACGCTGTAGCGCATTCCTGGATGGTTATCGCTGAGCTTACCGAGGAGGTCTCTTCCAGCCTTCGCATTGGCCAGGAGCTGGTCCTTAAACTTCTTCAACTGGGAGCGAAGCGGGCGCTACCTGGCAGCGCCTTGCTCCAAGAAGTCCTCGGGGGCCACCTCGGGGGGAGCAGCGATGGCGTCCACCAGCTCGGGGCTGACCAGATCCAGCGCGTTGGTGGCCTCGACGTTCTTCGCGGGCGGCCTAGAACTTGGGCAGCGGCTGCTGAACCAACTCCGCGGGATCAGAGCGAAAGCCGCTCACGAGAGGGGCCACAAGAATTGCAACCTTCCCAGCCAGGAGCACCAGCGCGGTTAGCGTAGGCCCGAGACACCAGGAGTTGCCGCACACGCAGTAGGCCTGACGCCTCTTGCCGTTCGTCGAAGGTTGACGGCTGCCGCTGCGACCACCATCCTTCTGTCGTGAAACGATCAGACCACACGACTTCTGCCGCTGGTGAGAGCGCCGCCCCTCAAGCCGCGGTATTCATAGCTGTCGCGCCTGCGCAGCCAGACCGAGCAGGGTGCGCGCGCGTGGCTTGTGACGGAGGGCTCTTCCCCAAAAGGGGCCTCGAACCACACTGGGCTTGAGCCAAATTGGCCACGGACCGAAGGGGGAGTAATGGAGGAAAGGAAAGAGGGAGAAAGTAGGAGCGGGAGGGGGAGAAGCAGCGCGAGGCTGTGAGAGGGAGGGGCGAGGGGAGGAGGGCGGATCGATGGTCGAGGCACTGAAACGCCTTTCGTCCGTTCTGCGGGCCTCCGACCCAGACATCCAGCGTCGAGATTTCTTCAACGTCTCTCCCCAAGAGGTCTGGGCCCCTTCCCCGAGACCAACTCCTCATCCCGAGTCGTGTTTCGACGGTCCAGGGACCCGCCTGGAGCCCCCGCAGGCCGAGAATTAGCAAAAACCCTCCGTCGCGCTTTCGAGTAGGAGTTGCCAGGGAAGTTTCGAGCAGGAGATCGAGGAGACGTAGAATCTTCGCAGATCTAAGAGCATTCTACGTACCTGTTGTAGACTCGACGGAACAAACATCAACTTGGGGGTGAATCAATCCTGTCGTCGATCGCCTACTCGGATGCTCTGGGACGTCTTTCGTCCGCTATGGAAGCCCCCCGAGGGCCGGCCCGCCGTCGCCCAAAGCGAGGCAGCGGAGAAGTCGCCTCCTCGATCGAAGGAAGGCCAAAAAGACCAGGGGGCCCGCTCGCTCCGCGAGGGCAGGTGATCCCCAGGACAGGGCTGGTCTCTCGAGCAGGGAGGGGCGGTGGAGGTACGAGGGGCCACGTTGGGGGATCGGGGAGGCGGGGGGGACCGGCTCAAGAGGGGGAACATAGACCTGGAATCGGCGATACACCGCCGACAGAACGGCGATGGGCCCCGACGGCGAACCTCCACTATCCTTGGCGGGAGTGGGGCTATCGGGGCCCTACCGGCGATCAATGGGCGATCGGGGGTTGATGCATCTCCCCCTGAGCCTATCCCCCCGTAAGGTTGCCCCCGAGGGCGGGAGGCGAGGGGAGAGGGGGCTAGGGAGCTGAGCTGAGCTGAGCCGAGAGCGCGTGTCTCCACAAGAGGAGCTACGTAAAGGAATTTGCGCGTCAAGGTACCACTGCCATCACTTCTCGTGCTTCCCTGTCCTCACACTTACGGCCCATCATAATCTTCGTCAGGCCCAGGCTCCTTCCAGTCAGATGGGCGGGGGAGCGCACCGTGCTTCTTCTTGGCGCCATCCCGCTTCCACTTTGGGAGCTTCGCAAAGTCATCCTTGCCCATTCCGAACAGCTCCTGAGAAGAGTGGCCAAGACCCTGAGATCCGACGACACGAACAGATGCAACAGCATACTCTAACCGAATCGGAGCCCTGGACCCCATCTTTCTGGAACATTTTTCGTGCCGGATCGATCCGTGAGGGTCCCAGGGACCGAAACAAGGCAACCTAGCCCGTTCCAAAGAAGTGCTACGTCAGGATATCAGGGGAGGAGTAGCGGAGGAGGACACGGCGGGAGGACGTCGGACATGGCGCGCACTGGAGAGGCGCAGAAGGCGTGCGCATCCGATCGGGGACAACAGCTGACCATCTCCCCGATCTTGCGGGTCCTGTGAATCCGCCGGCCCCCTATGGGGGCCACCAGGCTGTGAGGGTGAGGGCTGCTGCCGCTGCACCGGTTCCAGTTTCCAGTTTCCAATGTTACAGTCTTGCCTGCTGCTTTCTAGTGTAAATTGTTACTGTCCGCGCGAGGGAAGGGAGCCGAAAAGGACACTGGTTATCCCCCAGGAGGGTTCTCAGAATCCCACCAGCCCTCTGGGCGTAGGTGGTTCCGGGAGTTTCCTCTTCCAACCTCCTTCATCCCCTTCGGGGAGGGGTTTACCCCTCCCCCTAACCCCCCCCCCCTGGACTTGGACGGGGGGGCCGCTGGTAGTTAGAGCTTCCAAAACGGCCTCGGCGAGGAAGCCTAAATCATCGGTTTTACTAAGGTTTTGGCCGATTTTGGAGGCTCCCGAAGGGGGAGGCTAATTGAGGGACCCCCTTCCTTTGATCGATCACCTCCAAGATGGCCCCAAGAGCGCTCCCAAGGCTCCCAAGAGCGCCCCAAGAGGGCCTCAAGAGGCGCCCAGGAAGCCCCAAGAGGCGACCAGGAGGCCCCAAGAGGCCTCCAAGAGTCCCCCAAAATACCCCCAAGAGGCCCCCAAGAGGCCCCAAGAGGCTCCCACGAGGCACCCAAGACGGCCCAAGAGACCTCAAAGAGTATCCCAAGAGACATCCCAAGAGACTCCGCGAGGCATGCAAGAGGCCTTTGACTCTTCTGATCGCCATTATCCTCATCCTCCCCCTCATCATCACCATCATCATCACCATCACCATCACCATCGTCAAGACCACCACCATCATCGTCATCAGCGGCATCATCACGATCAACATCAACATCATCATCCGCATATTCCTCCTCCTCCTCATTCCTCCCTCCCCACCCTCATCCTCCTCCTCCTCTTCCGCCTCCGACTCCTCCTCCATCCCCCCCGCTTGGGGTACGACGGCCTCCCCAGCCCCTTGTTCCTCTGTGTGCTGCCCCGCTTCCATGATCATCTCTACTCGCCTGGGCGTCGTTTCTGGATGGGTTGGGGGAGATATTTTTTGATCTGCGGCTCCAAGAACGATTCCAGACAACGGTTAATATCGGGCATGGGGTGACGCGCCAGATAATTACCAGCGGGCCAACAGCCAGCGCCGAAGTGCAAGCAATACCATGAGTAAACACGCCAGATAATTAAAATTGACACATTAAGCCGGACCGGGACAACGGCAGCGGAAGGTCGCACAGTGGCGCCAGCTCCCGAGGCGCAGGCCAACGAAAGACCGGGGGGGAACGCGGAGGGGGAGGCAGGGGCGGAGAGCGCAGCGAAGGCGAAGCGAGCCGGGAAGGACCAAGCGAGATAATTACCCGCGGGCCAAAAGCCAGCGCGGGGATGCACGGACGGGCGAGATAATTACCAGCGGGCCAAGAGCCAACGCCGGAAGCGTGCGGGGACCAGGGACTTTCAATCACGGAGCAACTGAGGCTCATGGTCAGTTGGTCGTCACCAGTATGTAAGGCACCGTAGCACGGCCACAGAGAGGGGCGTGCGCCTTCCCGCCGACAGCGCCACGCGTAGGTGATCCCAGGCGGGCGGACCGTGTCCAAAACCGATGCCCGCGAAGAAGCTGTCGTCAGCGCCTGCCAATGGGGGGTGCCACAGCAGAGACATGTAGGGTGGAACGATGGGGCGGGCCTTAGGCCGACGTACCCATGCGCTCGGACGCCCGGGCGGGCCCAAGCTCGAGAACCGGGCCAAATCCCAACGTGCGCGTGGGTTATTTCAGCCAACGTCACACGGGCTAAGTCACGGTGCGCCGTGAAAGAAAAGTCGCAACCACGCCATAGCGGTGCCCCACATCCAGAAGGGAATGCAACGTGGGCCACGACCTGTCGCTGAGATGAACCAACCACGCCGAAGGCCCTGCTGTGGTTGTGGAACGAAGGGGCGGGCCTTAGGCCGACGTACCCAGCCGCTCAAATGCCCGGGCAGGCGAGGCGGGCCCGCGCTCGCGAGAGCTAGGCCAAGTCACACCGTGAGCGAGGATTATTTCAGCCGACGTCACACGGGCTAAACCGCGGTGTACCGTGGAAAGCAAATCGCAACATCCTGTTGGTGTCCCGCTTCCAGGGGAGGAATGCAGGGAGTGCCACAACATGTCACTGAGGTGAAACAACCACGACGGGCGCCCAGCTGTGGATGCCGATGGGAAGAAGGGGGGGGCGCAGCCGATAGCCGCAGGTCAAGTGAATATGAGGGAACTGTCGATGGGCTGGTGGGGATACTTCTTCCCAACCATCCTGTGGTGTTGGGTCCTCGTTTTGAAGAGACGGTGCCCCGCGTTCCTCCTCCTTCCTCCCGCTGCCCCCTCCCTCCCCCCCCCTTGCCTCTGCCCTCCGCATGTCTCTGTTTCGGCACATCCCTCACGCGTTCCGTGGCCCCATAGGGAGCTCCACCGAAGGCCCCAGTGGCAGGGTCCGCATGGCGGCCCCGCATTTTGGCGCACCCCTCACACGGTTCGTGGCCCCATAGGGAGCTCCACCGAAGGCCCCAGTGGCAGGGTCCGCATGGCGGCCCCGCATTTTGGCGCACCCCTCACACGGTTCGTGGCCCCATAGGGAGCTCCACCGAAGGCCCCAGTGGCAGGGTCCGCATGGCGGCCCCGCATTTTGGCGCACCCCTCACACGGTTCGTGGCCCCATAGGGAGCTCCACCGAAGGCCCCAGTGGCAGGGTCCGCATGGCGGCCCCACATTTAGACCCGCCATCACATGGTTCGTGGCCCCATAGGGAGCTCCACCGAAGGCCCCAGTGGCAGGGTCCGCATGGCGGCCCCGCATTGGGGCGCACCCCTCACACGGTTCGTGGCCCCATAGGGAGCTCCACCGAAGGCCCCAGTGGCAGGGTCCGCATGGCGGCCCCGCATTTTGGCCCGCCCTCACACGGTTCGTGGCCCCATAGGGAGCTCCACCGAAGGCCCCAGTGGCAGGGTCCGCATGGCGGCCCCGCATTTTGGCGCACCCCTCACACGGTTCGTGGCCCCATAGGGAGCTCCACCGAAGGCCCCAGTGGCAGGGTCCGCATGGCGGCCCCGCCATTTTGGCGCACCCCTCACACGGTTCGTGGCCCCATAGGGAGCTCCACCGAAGGCCCCAGTGGCAGGGTCCGCATGGCGGCCCCGCCCCATTTTGGCGCACCCCTCACACGGCTCGTGGCCCCATAGGGAGCTCCACCGAAGGCCCCAGTGGCAGGGTCCGCATGGCGGCCCCGCCCCATTTTGGCGCACCCCTCACACGGTTCGTGGCCCCATAGGGAGCTCCACCGAAGATGATGCCCACAATTGCGGTATTAACACTTGCTTATGGTTGGGTCTTTCGCCAGGCTAATTTTTTTTCCCAACCATCCTGTGGTGTTGGGTCCTCGTTTTGAAGAGACGGTGCCCCGCGTTCCTCCTCCTTCCTCCCGCTGCCCCCTCCCTCCCCCTTGCCTCTGCCCTCCGCATGTCTCTGTTTCGGCACATCCCTCACGCGTTCCGTGGCCCCATAGGGAGCTCCACCGAAGGCCCCAGTGGCAGGGTCCGCATGGCGGCCCCGCATTTTGGCGCACCCCTCACACGGTTCGTGGCCCCATAGGGAGCTCCACCGAAGGCCCCAGTGGCAGGGTCCGCATGGCGGCCCCGCATTTTGGCCCGCCCTTCACACGGTTCGTGGCCCCATAGGGAGCTCCACCGAAGGCCCCAGTAGCAGGGTCCGCATGGCGGCCCCGCATTTTGGCGTACCCTTCACACGGTTCGTGGCCCCATAGGGAGCTCCACCGAAGGCCCCAGTGGCAGGGTCCGCATGGCGGCCCCGCATTTTGGCCCGCCCCTCACACGGTTCGTGGCCCCATAGGGAGCTCCACCGAAGGCCCCAGTGGCAGGGTCCGCATGGCGCACCGGCGTGGCCCCTTTTTCATATCACACGGTTCGTGGCCCCATAGGGAGCTCCACCGAAGGCCCCAGTGGCAGGGTCCGCATGGCGGCCCCGCATTTTGGCGCACCCCTCACACGGTTCGTGGCCCCATAGGGAGCTCCACCGAAGGCCCCAGTGGCAGGGTCCGCATGGCGGCCCCGCATTTTGGCGCACCCCTCACACGGTTCGTGGCCCCATAGGGAGCTCCACCGAAGGCCCCAGTGGCAGGGTCCGCATGGCGGCCCCGCCCCATTTTGGCGCACCCCTCACACGGTTCGTGGCCCCATAGGGAGCTCCACCGAAGATGATGCCCACAATTGCGGTATTAACAATTGCTTAAGGTTGGGTCTTTCGCCAGGCTAATTTTTTACAGCCGCGGGCAGAAGCGCCAGCGGCGGCGGGTAACGGTCGGGCTGCGGCCGATACGAATTGGCCGGAGGCGCGCGCGAGCCGCGGCCGACGCCGGGCGGCGGGTGCAAGGGTGCTGCAGCCCAGGGAGTCTGACGGCGAAACCAGCACCCAGGGATAAGTAATTACGCTGCCAAAGCGGCGCGATGCAATGCCCCCACCGTGTCAGAGGCCATGGTAACCAGTACGCCCTGAGACACTAACTGAACAGGAGGGAGTCTCCGGCCTCGGCGGGAATGGCGTGCAAGAGGCCCCAGAATGCCTGCCATGCACAAGCATCAACCGAGAGACAGGCGAGCTGTCGCCAGTCGGCATCCCGCACGGAGAGGTTGGACTCTGACAGCGCCAGCGAACC